CCCAATTATGGGTCATGAAGCACCTTGGATAATCTCCAGAAATCAATTTAAAGGGTAATAAAATAATTGCTGATGTAATATTTTCCCTGTAACTATTACAAAAACATAAAATAAATAAAAATAAGTATTTACAGTATATTTGTGTACAAGCTGTTTAGATTGTCAAAAAGCCTGTGTTTTCAGGTTTATTAACGAAGTTCATGTACTCAGACCAGTAATATTTGGGGTCACAAGTTTTTGCCATGGATATTTCATGGGTCAGAAGATAAAAAGTTTGGGAACCACTGGTTTAATCTGTTTAGACCTCAAAACAGAAAATTCTTCTGTTCGCAAACAAACTTCACCACTCTTAAACATGCTATCAAACAAAGTTGATGGGTAATAATGGGTCAAGGCTGAATCTTTTTAGTTAATAGTGTGTACGTTTAATGTATAATTACCATAAACTAAGTTTATTTTATATGGTCTTTAACAAATAATCAAACCAATAATTTAATGAAGCRCTTTTTTTAGACTTGAAAACAGAAATGTTCAGAAACTAACTTCACCTCTCTGAACCACCCTGTCAAACAAACATATTGACTGACTGTTAATAATTCATGAAAGCTGTACCAGTTTGACTCAGACAATGGTAAAAAAAAAAAAAAAAAAAAAAAAAAAAAAAAAAAAAAAAGGCCAGAGGCTGGGACTGGAAAACATATTTTGTGTTAAACCCTGTTTGTAGAACATGAAGGTGCTAAGCACAGGCGAGCTTCACGTCGCTGAAGGAGTCCTAAAGAAATACTTACCGAGGAGTTACAAGGTTGGACGACTGTACGAAATATGTCAGTAAAAGTTGCAATTTTGTTGTGTTTTTCAGTCAGTGAATGGCTGTTTTTGTAGGTCTACGGTTTCCTCCATGGTATTAACAGGAAGAAGCCAAGTACACTGGAGTTTGTCGTCGATTCGTGGCCAGATTTCAAAGTTATCCTCTGCCGTCCTGACCCCAAGGTGAGTTCACGGTCTGAATAAAAGTTAGGAAATGTTGGGACTCCTTGTGAGATAATGCCCAGTTTCCCGTTAACACTACAGAACAAACGGGTCCAAGACTTCGTGAAGAAGGTGAGTTTCTACAGCACGGATGAAGACGTTTTAAAGAAAATGCTGAGGGAAGAAATTGACTGGAGCCCGTTTTTTCTTATTGGAGGTGAGTTTACCAGGAAACTTAAACGCATCAAGTTGAACATTTTAGCTTTGAAAAACAGAGTACCTCAAGTTTTAATACATTTTATTTTAGATCAAGTAGAATAAAGAAAAATATAACTATTACTTTGTTGTGCCTTTCTTTGTATTCATACAATCTTTAAGTTGTTGAGGCACTTTCTTTAAAAAATATTGTTATATCTTGCTCTTCTAATGTCTCAGTAACTTTTAGTTGTTTTCGATTAAATTAACAATAGGGCTGCACGATATTAGGAAAACCTGCGATGTGTGATATTAGTGCTTAACACTGCGATGACGATATGACTTGTGATAAATGAACAAATACATAAGTAGCTATGTAGTGTTAATGTCTTTCAGTTCTGGGTTCAGAGTAAAAAAAACATTCATTACTAATCATTTCTATTCATGTTTTTTTTAAATATGAAGAGATCCATCCAATTGGCCAAATAAATGAAGGGCTCTATTTGATTGGTGAAATACTTTAAGCTTCCATCTGAGTGACAAAACTCATAAATGAAAACTTTTGAGCCTACCATTTATTGCACTTTATGCAGTTTTTTTTTTGCAATATGCATATTACGCAGACTCTTACAGCGATAATAAATTTTCGATATATTGTGCAGCCCTAATTAACAATATACCTATAACTGTCAGTTGTGTAAATGAATATTTTCAGCATTAAGGTTTGTTTGTTCTGACTCCACAAACAAAATAACCCCCAAACACAAACAGTCTTTGCACGTTTTTGATAAACCACAAGTAAAATGTGTTTTATGGTGTTAACAGCATGTTACTTGGAGATTTCGTTTGCATTTACATTTGTAGCTACTTTGTTGGCAAGTTGGTGAATTTTTATTTATTTATTTTTTATTTTTTTGCATGGGGAAGGCCAAGTTTTAAGTATTTCAGGAGTTTAGCCAGGTGACATAGAGGCAACAAGCAGAAACATTTCTATAGCAAATAGGAACATCAGTCCTTAATATGTATATTAAGGACTATATATACCTCGGTATATTAATATGTTATATTAATGTACTTATTTATAAACAGCCCAGCCCAAACTTTTTTAAACAAAAATTGCAATCCAAGTCTCAAACTGCAGCTGCTTTTCCATCGACAATAAAAATGTGCAAATTAAAATTGCGAAAATAAATTTGCTTAATAGAAACACACCAATTTCGAAAAAAAAAACTAAATTTTTCGACAAAATAGTTTCCCGCCAGGATATGCTGGTTTTTCAGCCGTATCGAAATTGGTATATTTCGCAAAACTGCAATAGAAACAATTTTTTTGCATCACAGGAGTCACGTGATCAACAACTGGATGTTTCTACTGGTGAAAAAGACAACAGAAGGTAGAAGTAGTAAACACACCGACTACAATTTCCCAAAAACGCAGCATACGTAGCCACTCCCAAGAATAAGCGGCTTGTCACTCGAAAGCCTCGATAAGACGTCGAGTCAGAGTCACCGACGTCTCCTCTGATGAGCGCAAGTGCCGCGGTAGCAAATATGAGTATATTGATTGCATATTTGCATACAAATTGATTTCTGTTGTGGTTATAAAAAACAAACAAAAAAAAGTATTCTGCTATCTTTGGTCACATTTTCAAAGATCCACTGCACCAAAGAGCCACATGTGGCCCCAGAGCCGCAGGTGGCAGACCCCTGCCCTAGACCAGTGTTTCCCAAAGTTGGGGTCGGGACCCAAAGAGGGGTCCTGAAAAATCAAGGTGGGGTCCTGAAAAGATTTTCTGAATTAATTACATTTTTGCCTTAGTTGTTACAAAGGAGTGAGGTTAGTGT